TGACAACCGACATCCGAGTAACTAAGTAGATCAATGTGGGTTCGTCTTGGATACCAAAGTCCTAAGTTTTGAGTCCCACTAAGATATCTAAAGATTCTTTTAATATCTTTGAGATGGGATTCCTTAGGATTAGATTGAAATCTAGCACATAATCATACACAAAACATAATATCGGGTCTACTGCGATTAATTAGAGAAGGGATCCAATCATACCTCGATATTTGGTGACATCCACGGAAATGCCTTGACCATCTTTGTTGAGTTTTATCGATGTGCTCATCGAGTGTTCATAGGATTTAGATCATGCATATCGAACTTTTTCAACATGTATAATATATATTTATTTTTATCCTGTGCCATAGTCTTTCAAGCTAAGTAAACAATGTTCGCTATTTTCACATTCAATCTTTATGATATAAATATCTTTACTTCGGCTTCCTAAGAAAATTACCTCTTTTGATGTAGCATCTTTAATGTAACATTTGGAAGTATCGAATTTTATAATATAACCTTTATCACATAATTGTCTAACGCTTAGTAAATTATGTTTGAGGTTATCAACAAGTAAAACATTTTCAATAGATGGGGATAAGTGATTACCGATGTTACCAATGCTGATAATTTTTCCTTTTGCATTGTCCCCAAATGTTACATGACCTCCATCTTTCTTTTTGAAGTTTGATAACAAAGATTGGTCTTCGGTTATATGTTTTGAACATCTGCTATCTAAGAACCATTTGCTTTTCGTCTCCTTTGGTATCTATAAGACATAGTTTAATTTTTGATCCTTGGTACCCATGCAAGCTTGGGTCCTTGGTAGTTAGTTTTAGTAGATTCTCGAATCCATTTGTTCTTTCTTTCAAAATATTGCTTCTTTTTACTTAAATAATGAAAAGCAATGTGTCCATGTCTACCACAAAAACTACATGTAATATTTGAATTTGAAGTTTTGACAAACATGTTTTTGAGAGATTTTTGTTTTAAAGAGGGTTTGAATCAAATTCCGTCTTTGTCAAAAACACATTTTTTATTTCCAAGCATTAAATCAAAATTTTTCTTCCTTTCGGTGAATTTATAAACAATTTTTGATAAGTCTTCAACTTTTTTCTTTTAGAGAGATGTTTTCCTTAATTAATAGATCATGATCAACATTTGTTTTTTGTTTTTTCGAAATTTTCTTTATTTCTTCTTTTAATAAGAAATTTTTCTTTTTAAGAATGGATTTCGAAATCTGTTAGCATTTTATCACAGGAAATAGATAATTCATCATATGAGTCTTTTTCTATAGAGTTTACCTCGTCGTTGATTGCCATGAAGCACACATTGGCTACTTTTTCTTGGCTATTGTTTCTGTCGTCAACATCTTAATCGCTTTCATTCCAAGTAGTTTCAAGAGCCTTTTTCTTGAAAAACTTCTTTTTGTTTGGCCATTCGGTTCTTTTGTGACCCAGTTTGTCACAATCGTAACAAACAATTTTCTTGCCCCTTTCTTCGTTCTTTTCTTCCTTCTGTTTGAATTCGATTGTTTCGAAAGCCTCTCCATTTTTTGACAAGAATGAACAAATCGTTCTCGAGAAACAGTGAGTACAGCAACGAGCAACAAGGAACATCAATCACGAATTTTAAGAAATTTGGCATTTAGGAGCCTCTTTTGAATCCTCTTTGCTCTTTCTTGTCTTTTCCTTGATTTTGGCATTGTTGAGTTTGTAGGTCATCAAGGTTCCATATAGTTCTACTAGATAATATGTGTTGACACTCTTGGTGTTTTCTATCAACATCCTCAACGAGCTCCATTTCTTCTAGAGCGACCTAAGTATTTTGCTTACAAGTTCACCGCTAGTAAATTTGCGATCAAATCCTTTCAATCCATTTATAATATCGGTAAAAAAAAGTAATCATATCAACAATTGATTCACTTTGTTTCATAAAGAAGTTTTCAAATTCTTTTACAAGGATATTAATCTTAGTTTCTTTCACTTTACTAGTACCGATGTGAGTAATTACTAGAGCATGCCAAATATCATAAGCGGAATCACATGTGCTAATATGATTAAATCCCTTTTTATCTAGAGCACAATAAAGTAGATTATTGGCTTTAGCATTTAAGGACAATTTTCTTTTGTCATCTTCAACATATTCCTCTCTACGCTTATGAATTGTTTCATCAGGTTTTCCATCAATTTTTATAACTTTAGTTGGCACATATGGACCTTATTCAATGACTTCCCAAATATTGTAATCAATGGATTGAATATAAATCATCATTCTTGCTTTCCAATAATTATAATGTGTACCGTCAAAGAAGGGAGGTTGGTTTGTGGAGTGCCCCTCATGATTTTGAAACGTAGCGTTAGCCATTTCTCAAGATTTTGAAATCTTTGAAAATGAGTACCGAACTCTGATACCAATTGAAAGTCCAAGAATAGCTAACCAAGAGGGGGTGAATTTGTTTTTAACGCTTTTTCGTAAAATTAATCTAATTTCAAGCAAATAATAAATAGATAGATTAACTTAAATGACAAATATAAGTATAAAAGCGATAAGTAAAAGGGAGAGAAGATGCAAATGATATATTTATGGAGGTTCGATCCCAAACTTGGTCTACTTCCCCTGTTATTGAGCTCTCCGTCACGGCAAGGTCTTTTCCACTATCATGATTGACCTATGGTGCAATCTAACTATTTACAAACTTTCGGTGACTTTCAAACAAGGAGTACCAATCCTTTTACAATGTTGATATTTACGGGACCTCAACACAACCCAAACTATCGAGATTTACGGGACCTCAATATGACCCAAACTATTGAGATTTACGGGACCTCAATATGGCCCTTGATTCAAAAGAGTTTTACAAGTGAAATCTTCTCTTCTTAATGACTAATAGATTCAAAGTTGAGAACAAAAAGAGAAGAGGGCAAACACTTTAATAGATAGAAATGAATATAGCTCAAGTGTTGTATTTGAAAAACTTTGATGAAATTGATTTTCTAAGTTTAGAATAATCAAATGTTTTTCAAATGTAAATCAAGTTATAAGAATGAATAAATAGTAAACACCAATGATTTATCTCAATAAATGCTCACTTATTGCTCTTAGAATTTTTGTTAAAATTGAATGCAAGGTGAGTTGGTATTTATAGGAGTAAAATAGTCAAAAGTTCTGTTAGACCGAACATCCGTTACAGTATCGGACGGACAACTAGCCGTTGTGTCAGGAAATCAGAACGGCTGAATTTTTTACCGTTGGCGCTAAAACTACCATACCGGACGTCCGATACCGGACGTCCAGTATGACGTACCGGACGTCCGGTACGATAGTTTTACTCCGAAAAGTCCTCGTTTTAGTTTTTATCAAATGTAAGTACTTGAGAGACATTTCGAAAATATTTTTCAAGGTAAGTGACATTTTCAAATATAAGTTTGAGATTTTTACCTTTTGAAAACTAATCTTTATGCAAACATTTTTGTATTATGATCTTTCATGCGTAAAATTGATTTTGAGCTTGTCACGGTTCATTGCCACGTACTAAAGTGTTTTACCTTTACATATGAGTATAAATACTCTAAACGCTTCGTTTTGAACGTCTTGGCATACATGCTTGACTGTACTTCGATTTTTATCTCGATTCTTGTTGAGATATCTTTTTACGAGTTTTTCAATATCAATCTTCATAGCCTCGTTTGATCAATTTTGTTTCCATGTCGATCGTTGCATGCAAATTATTTGGCCTTGAACTTCGCGTCTTCAATTTTATTGATTTGTTTGTGATAGTCAAAACAAGGCGTCAACCATAAGTCAACAGTCAAATCCCAACAAAGTGTCATCCAAATCCATATGAGTGAGTAATGCTCGCATCTTTATGTGCCACAATGAAAATTTAGTGTTGCGATCTAAAAGCGGAATATTATACTTCAAGGTTGTCATCACATGAACAAACTTCAAACAAATCAAACTTTAAACCCTGATACCATTTGTTAAGAATTAATGATGAGATTATATGGTACAATATGATGTAAAGATCACAACACAATAAGAACACAAGAAATTTGGCAGAGAGGAAGAGAATTCACTATATTATAGAGAAAGAATATAAAGATATTGTGTTTACATTATTTTCTAACTTTTTTTTAATTTGTAAAGAAGAGCCAACTATATATAGAATACATGTCAAAACCTTAATAATTGTCCTAATGATAAAAGAGCAAAAAAAACACGTCAAAACACAAAACGGATCGTGGATCGGATGCCATTGCCGCTCGAGTGCAACCCTAATTGGAAGAGAGCGACAGACGGCGCTAATAGAGTGGCAGCTCCCTATTTTACGTGCTAGAGCAGGAGCTTGGCCCATAACTAATGGGAATGCGGCTAAATCACTCATGGTCCATATTTTGACCTTTTCAAGACCCACTTTAACTAATCCACAAATACCCAATGAAATTTGGGTCAAATTTCAACAATTTATTATTTGATTAAACATAAGGGTAATGTTTACTTTAAAAAAAAAAAAAAAGAAATGAAAAAGAAAAAGTAGTTTTAACACTATGGTAATAGGAACCAAACGTTTGAAGAATGAAAAATGTTAGGTTGGGACATACTTCTACATTTTTAATAATCAGGGGGCCACATCTATAACTTTTCCAAGAAATTGGTACATTTAATTATTTATCAATATATATATATATATATATATAGTTTAATTTGGTTTAATTAATTAATTGATTAAAGAAATAATTAAAACCAAACGTGCCAATGACACTTTCCCATTACTAACAGAATTCTGTTAGAATATAACTATCCTTTTGGATAATTATCTGTCATTAAATTAAATTATGCAAATTAGTCATTATTAGCAATCCTTTTATATCTAAAATATATTTTCTGTTAAGTCTTATCCTCATAAGATTCTGTTATCCGTTCTCTATAAATTCAAAATCTTCTTAACCCATTTTTTCTATATAATTGTTAACTTGACTTCTGGTTTACATTCTGTTTAGAGAGACATGGAGCTTGATTTGTCCCCTAAGTTGGCAAAGAAAGTATACGGAGGAGAGGGTGGATCATATTATGCATGGTGTCCAAATGAACTGCCTATGCTACGTGAAGGCAATATCGGCGGTGCAAAGCTTGCTCTCGAGAAAAATGGCTTGGCTATGCCTCGTTACTCTGATTCCGCCAAGGTCGCATATGTCCTTCAAGGTCCGAATATTTTTCCTTTTCACCCGTTTGTGATTAATTTCTAGTATATTTGTGAAATTAGCTGCTTTCATTGTTTTTAATTTGGTTTGTTTGTAAATCTGCCTTTTCTTTTCGACCTTTTTAGTAATTCTCGTCTTGAACAACTTGTGCCAAATTATCGTCTACTCTTTTGCAATTTTGCTTTAATTTTTGCGCATGTGATCATCCTCTATCATTAATTAATTGAACTTTGTGTTAAAATTCTGTTTTGGGTTCCAGTTATTGCTTTTAATCTTGTATTGGTTCTGTTCATTGAAATATGCTTGTTATTGAATACAATTTAAATTTGGTGATCATATATTTTTGAATGAGTGTAGCAAATCTGTTTTCTTCATAAGCTTTTTAGTGATTAGCATCTTGAGCAGTTTCCATAAGTTTATGGTTCTGTGGTATTCCACATTCGATTCTTATTCTTGCAAGAATTTTTTTCTGTTTCAAGTCAAATTAGATAATATTCCGTATCTCAATCTCTTTTGCTTTAATTTCAGGGAGTGGAGTGGTTGGAATTGTGCTTCCAGAAAAAGAAGAGAAGGTGCTTGCAATCAAGAAGGGTGATGCCATTGCACTTCCCTTTGGTGTTGTCACATGGTGGTACAATAAACAGGACACTGAACTTGTGATCCTCTTCCTTGGAGATACCAAAACAGCCCACAAAGCCGGTTCGTTTACCGACTTCTTCTTAACGGGATCTAATGGAATCTTCACTGGGTTCTCAACCGAATTTGTCAGCAGGGCATGGGACTTAGAAGAGAGCGTTGTGAAAACTCTTGTTGGACAGCAGTCTGGTAAGGGTATCGTCAAACTCGATGCTGGTTTTCAAATGCCTGGGCCTAAGGCAGAGCACCGCAAAGGCATGGCCTTAAATTGCGAGGAAGCTCCATTGGATGTGGACATTAAAAATGGTGGAAAGGTTGTGGTTCTGAACACGAATAATTTGCCGTTGGTCGGTGAGGTTGGACTTGGGGCTGATCTTGTGAGATTGAATGGAAGTGCAATGTGTTCTCCAGGTTTCTCTTGCGACTCTGCCTTGCAAGTCACATATATTGTCCGGGGCAGTGGCCGTGCTCAGGTTGTTGGTGTCGATGGCAAGCGTGTCCTTGAGACGACAGTTAAGGCTGGTAATCTGTTCATTGTTCCAAGATTCTTTGTAGTTTCAAAGATTGCTGATCCAGATGGTTTGGAGTGGTTCTCTATCATCACAACTCCTAAGTGAGTCTTTCTTCTTTGTTTACTAATTTATTTCTTTTGTTTCTTGGGAACGATTTCTTACTTAAATTATGTGGTGTATGGCAGTCCAATTTTCACACATTTAGCTGGAAGGACTTCAGTTTGGAAGGCCTTGTCTCCCCAGGTGCTACAGGCTTCCTTCAAAGTTGGTCCTGAAGTAGAGCAGAAATTCAGCTCAAAGAGAAAGGCTGAAGAAATTTTCTTCCCACCACCAAATTGATCAACTGATTTCTTTAGTTCTATTTAGTAGTTATAATAGGAATAAGCATCAACTTTTAGAAGTTTTCTTTTATGTTCTGATGTTAATCTGGATGTTGGTCGATGTTTAATGATTTCTTTTGATTTTTGTATATGTCATCGTACTTTCTGTTTGATATCGGTTTTTCTACCATCTTTAATGGTTTTTGTTTGGCATTTGTCATCTTATTTTAATTCGATTAAAGTCACGACACTTTTCTTCGTGCAAGTAGTTCACACATGCCACTTGTAGATAGTGCACAACAAAAATCTAATATCATGATCTTGATACTTTATTCTGTCATATTACTCACTTACACAAATTTAAATAGGTTTCTTAAAAATCTTTTTGATGATGTTTTGTTTTTGACCAGATGATTTTTTGCCTTTTTGAATTTTATATTTTAAATATTCAAATTTTCTTAAAAGAGGTTTTATGCCATCCTCTCCTTTATGGAACCGAAAGATGGGAAATATTGGAAATTTTTATATAAATTTAAAGCCTTATTGAGTAAAAAAAAAAAAGGTTAAACACTTGTGATTTCGTAATTGAAATACAATCGTGCCCCTGATAAAATGGGATAAAGTAGCAAAACTTATATATAGAGTAATTTTATGTAGGTGTCATTTAAGTATTATTGAAAAAATTGTCCGAAAAATAAGATTGATTAGATATCTTAAAGTAGGGACATGAGTGATGCGAACCCACGTAGCAATTGAAGTTATGAAACTCACGACAGATTAGATCAAATTCAAGAAATCGAAGAATCAAAGTTTGAAAGTTTGACCAAATAAATTATTGAATCAACGAACCAATACAATCGTCAGCAATATCTTGATCCCGTGATCACAAACTTATAAACCATACTTAAATTGGTGAACGCCACAAGAATTTAATTATTGATAAGTCCAGAACTAATTGAATAAATAATAAGAAGAAAGCAATAAACCTTGCAATAAATCTCTCAATAATTGTCTGTTTTTATAATGAATAAAATGAGTCACATTTATATAGAACACATAAAACCTATTTTAAAATGAAATTAAGTCTTAAAAATAACAAAAGATATCACAAAATAGAGTTTAACTAAAATAGAAGATTACGCGAAATTTGAAAAATTTGTGTACGGAAAATACACTATGCGGCCGCATAGTGTAAGTCTATGCGACCGCATAGATCAACTGGGCTTCTCCTTTGTGGTAAAGGGGCATGCGACCGCACGCTCTGAACAACTATGCGATCGCATAGTTGTTCCGTCCAGCTTTTTCATTCATCGCTTGAATCAAGTTGCTCCACTTCATTTCATCTCCCATGCCCAACATGAAACTTGTCCCTTTTCTTGCCATGATCAATGTTTCGTCCACCGTATCTTAAGCAAGTAGTCTCATTGCTTCTTTGACCCGCTTCGTTCGTGACCTAGTCACATGCCCTTCATCAATGATCAATGGATCCTTACCCGAACTTGTCCTCGTATAATGGATCACATCATCCCTTCCCTCTTCGAAAAGATTCGACCTCAAATCTGCATGTGCATCATTGAGAGAAAGATAAGAAACAACAAAAATACAAATTATCATAAACGTACCTTAAAGATCCAAATTGTGGCCATTGGTTTCAGTCCTTGCAATGATATGGAATGGTCCATCTCTTCTAAAATGTAATATTGACCTTCTGTGCATTTGAATAAGCCATTTTTATCTAAGTACCCAAACCCAATCACCTGGTTCGAATACTTTACGCCTCTTCTTTTTGCTACCTTGTGATGCATATAATTTATCCCTTGCCTTCTATCTAAGCTACCACTTACAATATTAGTTAAATGAATTAAACCAAACAAAGTTAACGGATTTAAACCATAAACAATATCGAATCCTATAGTACAAGTAGTAAAGGAAACTAAATTTGTTCCCAACATAATCTAAAGACTCGAACCAAAATAGTTAAGGCCTTCAAGATTGAAATATAGATCATCATGCCTCAAATCACAAACAATGCACCCCAATTGTCTATTGTGCTCAATTAATTTCTTGCAACATATTAGAATATTATTAACTAATAATTGATTGCCTATGAATGCATGTGACAAATGACTTATTTCTCTAATAGAAATATTAAATGCATTAATATCTGTAAAAGTACATGTCCCATGGGGTATTGATTTTTTTTACCATGTCATAGTTGAATTATCCTCCTTCCATGCCTATCAAATTCTCCATTTGTATCGAACCAATTGGATACTCAATGGGTGGTACCCCCACTAAATAAGTCTTTATGGAACGAGTCTTTGTGTTCCTGCAATAAAAAAATATCCAAACAAGGGAGGGGTTTGTTAGTTTTTACTAAAGCCCTCTCAATCTCACTATTGTTTGCATAGAAACTCACTTTTAATTTTTGCCTCTTCTCAATAGATTCTCTTTCTTTTTTCCTGTGTCTTTGTTCTTTTTTCCTCACAATTAGTTAACTCACTATCTTCTCTCCTAATCTCCTTTCGCCTTTCTTTGTTTTTCTTTTCTTCTTCACCTCTCAATATCAATTGGTCATCATAGATCTGTTGCGGTGTTGACGGTACAAGAATAACAGCTCTTCTATCTTTTACAAAGTTGTACCTATTCTTGAATGCGTCATGTTTTACCTTCCTATCATACTGTCATGGCCTTTCCAACAAAATGTACCCAGTATGCATAAGAACTACATCACATATCACTTCATCACTATACCTCCCAATTGAGAAATTCACCAAAACTTGCCTACATTTCCTAATCTCTCCACATTTATCTAACTACTGCAATTTATAAAGCTTATGATATTTTATCGTAGTCAATCCTAATTTCTCAATAACTGTAGTACTAGCAATATTTATGGCTGGACATGGTCCGGTTCGTTTCGATTTACGGTTTAGGATTCGTTCGGTTCGGTCCGGTCTGGTCCGTATAGTGTAAGTCTATGCAACCATATAGATCAACTGGGCTTTCCCTTTGTGGTCTCAATAAAGGGGCATGCGACTGCATGCCCTGAACAATTATGCGGTCCCATAGTTCATCGCTTGAATCGAGTTGCTCCACTTCGTTTCATCTCCCATGCCCAACATAAAACTTGTCCCTTTACTTGCCATGATCAGTGCTTCGTCCATCGTAACTTAAGCAAGTAGTCTCATTGCTTCTTTCACCCGCTTCGCTCACGACCTAGTCATAGGCCCTTCATCAACGATCAATGGATCCTTACCCAAACTTGTCCTCGTATAATGGATCACATCATCCCCCCATCTCCGAAAGGATTCGACCTCAAATCGGCACTTGCATCAAGGAGAGAGAGATAAGAAACAACAAAAATACAAATTATCATAAACTTACCTTGAAGATCTAAATTGTGGCCATTGGTTTCAATCCTTGCAATGACGTGGAATGGTCCATCTCTTCTAAAATGTAATATTGACCTTCTTTGCATTTGAATAAGCAATTTTTACCTAAGTACCGAAACCCAATCACCTGGTTCGAATACTTTACGCCTCTTCTTTTTGCTACCTTGTGATGCATATAATTTATCCCTTGCTTTCTATCTAAGCTACCACTTACAATATTAGTTAAAGGAATTAAACCAAACAAAGTTAATGGATTTAAACCATAAACCATATCAAATCGTATAGTACAAGTAGTAAAGGAAACTAAATTTGTTCCCAACATAATCTAAAGACTCGAACCAAAATAGTTAAGGCCTTCAAGATTGAAAAATAGATCATCATGCCTCAAATCACCAACAATGCCCTAATTGTCTGTCGTGCTCAATTAATTTCTTGCAACATATTAGAATAATATTAACTAGTAATTGATTGCTTATGAATGCATGTGACAAATGACTTATTACTCTAACAGGAATATTAAATGCATTAATATGTGTAAAAGTACACGTCCCATGGGGTATTGATTTTTTTACCATGCCATAGCTGAATTCTCCTTCTTCCATGCTCATCAAATTCTCCATTTGTATCGAACCAATTGGATACTCAATGGGTGGTACCCCACTAAATAAGTCTTCATGGAACAAGTCTTTGAGTTCTTGCAATAAAGAAATATCCAATCAAGGGAAGGGTTTGTTAGTTTTCACTAAAGCCCTCTCATTGTCACTATTTTTTGTATAGAAACTCACTTTTAATTTTTCTCTCCTCTCAAAAGATTCTCTTTCTTTTCTCTTGTGGCTCTGCTATTTTTTTTCTCACAATTAGCCACCTCACTATCTTCTCTCTTAATCTCCTTTCGCCTTTCTTTGTTTTTCTTTTCCTCTTCACCTCTCAATATCATTTGGTCATCATAGATCTGTTGTGGTGTTGATGGTACAAGAGTAACAGCTCTTTCGTCTTTTATAAAGTTGTACCTATTCTTGAATGCATCTTGTTTCACCTTCCTATCATACTACCATGGCCTTTCCAACAAAATGTACCCAGTATGCATAGGAACTACATCACATATCACTTCATCACTATACCTCTCAATTGAGAAATTCACCAAAACTTGCCTACATTTCCTAATCTCTCCACATTCATCTAACCGCTGCAATTTATAAGGCTTTTGATATTTTATCATAGTCAATCCTAATTTCTCAATAAGTGTAGAACTAGCAATATTTAGGGCTGGACATAGTCAGTTCAGTTCGGTTCTCTTCAGAACCGAACCGAATGGAACCAAAATTTTCAAGTATTTAATAAATGGAACAGTCGGGTCCAAATATAATTATGGAACCATTCGGGTTCGGTTCCGTTTGGTTCGATTCGATTATGTTCAGTTTTGTACCATAATTAAATTTTTATACTTTACAACAACACTACATAAATACAACTAATGACATGTTCATTCGTAACTTTTACAAATTATTGTAGTCCAATTTAAAAATATATAAATAACAAGTTGTCCAATAAGATTAATTCACCAATGTATACAAATAACCAAAAGTAGATACTAATACTAAAACATCAGTGATCCATATCAATA